CGGCACTGACTGGCGGATGGAACTCGGAGGAGGCCTAATCTGTGCGATCTAATCGGTCGAAGGGAGGTAATCGGCAGGAGGCGGTACTCTCAAGTTCTAATCAAGAGGCCCAAATGTAGTACAATATGCTTCAGATTGCAATTTTACCTGTGGGGCACCGTTTATATTTATGCAAGCAAAGAAAAATTTAGCCAAGAAGTTTTCATCTTAGTAAGATTGGATATTATATTATCCGTAGCTTAAAATTAAGGCTCCTTTGAGGCTCCTAGCAATTTTGTGGACAATCTATATATAGCAGCAACAGTATAGTCTTTTTCCAGAGTGCTTTTTTGTTTTTCCAGACCAAGGCCTTCAAATACTAAACAAGACTAAACTGCTTAGCTTCTCAAGATTAGCCAAAGTCACTTAGTGATTGTCTTTAGTTTTTGCAACGTTTAAAATCACATTAAACTTCTACTCTTTCTTCCACTAACTTATGGTTAAAAATTATCACAGAATGTATCTAGCAAGCATCTTCTGTAATAGGTATTTGAATTAGAAAAATACAGTCTACCCTGGAATGTGTATCATTTAGCTTTCTCAGATAATATAATAACATAAAAATGTTTGAAATAATTCCAATATAAGCCTGTATATCTAATAAAGTTCAACACTGTAAGAGAAAAGGGGGTAGATGGGTTGAAATAAGACAATAATTGAAAGGAGGTTTGCTCTAAGATAATAAATCATTCTACCTGAAATTCCTTGTCTGTTTTTGAAATAAAACACATATTCTTTTTTTAAAAAAAACCACCCTAAATGCTTCAAAATCAAAGTTAGGAAGAATCAGTATGAAAAAACTTTAGCATATCCATCCAATAAAGCAAGAGATTAAAGAGCAACACGTGTTTGTACCAATTTCATCTTCATCAAAGCCAGGCAGCTTTCCCAATATCATAAATTTAATTATAGTTACAATTTCTTGAAGCAAACAGATAAATATTATTGTTCTGATCCCTAATGTATATATAGCAATATTTCTATAAAATAAAGTACCGAATATCATCTCCTACTAAGAACTACAAAATATAAAAATGCAATTTTTAATTAATAATCTAGAATGTATATAATTTCACATTTGTGTCTCAAATGGATAGTATATTTTATCGCTTATTTTGACTCTAAAAGTGTAAGAGTTCTTTCCCTTTTTTAACATCTAACAAAAATGCAGAGCAATCTAATAAAAATCCTTAAAAATGATTAATTTCATATTTGATTAAAATCATATTTAGCAGTTACCAAAGATCTATATAAAGAAATATATCATCACCTGCTCCTCTAAGAATTTAATTGTAGCCAATTATTGTTTGTTTTTATAAATACGTGGTAAGACCCTAAAAAAATATTTCAACAGCTTCTCATTACCAAAGGCAATGTTGAAATCAAAACTGTTATAATATAATATAAAAATAATCACCTTTACCTTTTGCTTAATAAAATCTTTATTTTTCAGAATGTTAAATATAACTATTACTTAAAACAGTTTTTAAATTTTTGCCATATAAACCAATATCACAGAAGCACCACCTGAATTTACATAACATGGTTAAGTGAATCTGGCTTCACCACTGAGCTGGTGCAGTAGTTAGAATGCAGCATTGCAGGCTACTTCTGCTGACTGCTGGCTGGCTGCAGTTTGGCAGTTCGATTCTCACCAGGCTCAAGGTTGACTCATCCTTCCAAGGTTGGTAAAATAAGAGCCCAGATTGTTGGAGGCAATATGTGGACTCTGTGAACTGCTTAGAGAGGGCTGCATAGCACTGTGAAATGGTGTATAAGTCTAAGTGCTATTACTATTGAGTTTGCTTAGCAGAAGATTGCAAAAGGAATCACATGATCCTGGACATTGCAACCATCATCAATATGAATTGCCAAGCATCTGAATTTTGATCACATGACCAAGGGGATGTGGCAACAGTCACAAGTGTAAAGAATAGTCATAAGCCACTTTTTTCAGTATTGTTGTAACTGTGAATGGTCACTAAATGAACTGTTGTAAGTCTAGCACTACTTGTATATACTATTTTTATCCTGACATTTTTTTAGTAAAAATGTCATAGCTTTCTGTAGTTTAGAAAATCTGATTAAAATCACACTTCTTGCATTTAAAAATACTACATATATAAATCTTTCTCCTATAAAATATTCCTATAATCTTCCTATGAAATATTTATATTTAGGGAGAATGTTATCTCCTAAGAAAAATAAAACCACTTTCAATATTCATATTTTAGCAGTTCATTGAAGATCCCAGTTTTTAACATTGTATCTTACAAATGAGATTATTAACATTAATATTTGAGCAAGAAAAAATATATATGCCATATGGATATCATTAAAAATTCAAGCCAAGAAAATAAAATCTATAAACTCCATTCTTAAATAAAGACAAATTTAAATCAAAAAGGACAAGAGGGAATAGGGAATAAAAGACTGTAGCTAAAAAGCTGTCATATTTTGCTGTAGTTAAGGACATAAATATGCATATATAATTAAGAGTTAAAGATAATCCACAATAAATTTGGAAAAAAAATCAACTTTTAATAGGAATTTAGAGGTGAGATGTGTTTTAGACTCCCCACAGTAATGAAATGATTTTCAGTTGATCGTTTTAGATTTCTTTCCTCAAGCACTATTTCAAATTCAAGTTAATATTTCTCTGTGCTGGTGAACATCTTTGGCATAATCTATGAAAAGCGTAATGATTTTCTTTATCTTCTAAGTCTACTATGTACATGTGCCTTCAAGTCAATGCTGACAAGTTCCTGGATAAGTCCCTGTAGTTTTCTTGGCAAGTTTTTGAAAGTTGTTTGCCATTGCCTGCTTCCAAGGCTAAAAGAGTGACTGGCTTAAAGTCACTGAGACTGACCCAAAGTCCCCAATGCTGAAGGCAGAATTAGAAGTAGTTATCATAGTTTCTAACCTGTGCCTTAACCACTACACCAAACTGGCTCTCACCTTACTCTTACCTGAGCAATTTAAGTGTTCTATAAAAAATAATTCCATACAGGAAATCTGAGGCTGAGTAGTTATAACAAAAAAAATAAATAAATAAACTGGGATGTAATGAGCCCTCAAAATGATATATTTCATGCAAAGCCAAAACCATCTGATTAGGGCTTCCATGAAGTTCTTGTCAAATAATCTAGCAAGATTAAGATTCCAGGGGCATTATTTTGCCCTGTTAAATCTTAATAGCATTTAGCATATTAATTAGAGTTACAATGGTTAACTGCATAACATTTTCCAGTAAGCTATTCTGTTCTCTATCACATCTAAATTGACAGTCTTTGCACCTTCTCTGATCTTCAGGAGAATGGTATCACGTCTTTCTCAAAAGTCTTGCTGAGTTTTCTTTAATGCCATAAAGGCATCAAAGGTAACAAACCAGGGCTCTCTGGTAATTGTATATTTCTGGTTCTGAAAGTAACAATTAAAGTCGCAATTAACTACATACCAAGATTTTTTTTAAATGTATGGGTGGCCATCTTTCTCCGTCCTACTTTCTTTTTAGGATTAAAATGACTGAGTCAAAACATCACTTTACTCAACATTTTTTGAAAACACAGGGCTTTGACCTTTTATTTATATGCTGTTCTTATATTTTCCTGTACATTACCTTCTTCTGTTTCAAGTGTAATGCTTGCATAGGTAACATAGTAGGCTATTTCATCAGCATTTATATCATGTTACATATTTACAGTAATCAACTGATTCTTACCATGTTATCTTAGGGAGCTAGTAGGATTCAGTATTTAATTTCAAGACTGGTAAAATTCATGGCTAGTAGTTAATTATCACTAATGATCATGCAGAAATAATCATACAGAATGTATCCGTGCTCTAAATGTTGGAGGTTCCAACAATTACTAAAAACTAGGCATGTAGGAAACTCTGATGAGAAATGCAGCAAGCCAGGGGTCAATAGTACAGATAGGTGAGACCGAAAGCCTCTTTTTTCACAAGAACCCCAAGAACAAAACTTTTAGTTGTTCCTACCACTGTACTCTTCTTGAAACGAAGGACATTTGGGCCACAAAGATCTCCCTAACATAACCAACTTAAGAAAATTCACACAGTCATCTATAGTAAATTGTGATTATCTTAACAAGTAATGTTAACAAGGAATTGTTTGATCTCCTTTAACTTGTTTATCAGTAACTTTTCCACGTCAGCTTTAAGCTGAAGGGCCAAGTGGGAAGCACGGGGCTTTAGGGCTTCCTACTTACATTTAAAAATATGGCATTGTCTTTAAATAATTCTAGCTCTCCTAACTGGAAAAGCGACTGCACCCAGGAGTCACACGGTGGAGTCGAGCAGAAAAAACGCACACCTAAAATAATTGCGAAGGAAACATGACTAACAGCGCCTGTTAATGAGCAGGCAAACAAGAACCAGACGAGTATTTCTCAGAAGTAAACAGTCCAGCCATGAAAGTCCCACAAAGGTCGAGATAGATGAATTCGGGCGGCCCCCTCCCGTCCCAGCCTTTCACACGCGAGGACAGGAGACACGGGAGCCTCTGGCCCGAAGAGTCCCGTCCTCCGAGTGAGAGGGGAGCTACCTCGTGTTCCCTGGCTGAGGAAGGGGAGTCCCTGCGCGCTGCCTCCCTCAGCGTGGAATAAGGAGAAGCAGCGCAGGACTAGCCCTCGGCCGGCAGCCGCCGACTATCCCCGCTCCCCGCCCACTCAGCCCATGTCCAGGGCTCTGGGTACCTGTCGTCGCTCTTGTTTTTCTGCTTTTTGCCCATGGTTGCAACCGCCTCTCCGAGGCTGGCTCGCTCGTTCGCTCGCCTTGCGCAGGGCCCAGCCAGCCGCTTCCACACGCGAGAGGGCACATATGGTGAGAGGCCAACGCGAACCCTCCACTCGGCAGCGGACGACGATGCACGCAGGCGCTTCACCTCTGGCCCCCGGCACGCGGCAGGCGGGCAATCAGCGCTGAGGAAAAAAAGCAGGTTGCCTGGCCGGGAGCTTCCGGCTGCTGCGACCGCCTCCTCTGGACGGAGGATGAACTGCAGCCATACGCCTGAATTGGGCCCGTATTCAAGATGAGTTTGAACGTGGGACTGGGGCACACCTGTCCCTTGAACGACCGGGGAGGACCGAGAGCGCTCAGCAGTGGAAAGGCCCCATTAATGCGCCACCCTCCGCTGAGGGCCATCCAGAGGTGGGATGCGGGTGGTACCGAGATGGGGGGGGGGACACCCGGGCGTTGGGTCTTGCGAGTTCTTGTGTGGCTTATTACAAACTAACGGAATTAGCGTGACTCGGGGCGGTATGTGCAGGAAGCGTTGCTTTTTTGTTATAAATTCCCCTCACTCAAGCGACACTTTTAATCTAAGTCGTTAATTGACGTGAACGTAATGCAGCGAAGCAGCCACCCCGCTCAAGCGTCTTCAGAAACACATATACGCACGACGCAAGCGCAGAAAGGATCGCCGCCTCTGACAGCTAACTGCTGCGTCAACAATAAAACGTCCTCAGGACGCGTCGCTGAGGATAGAGGCGCATGCGCGGGACTCCCGGGGTGACCAGGTTTACTTGCTGAGCCAACTTGTGGGGCGTCGGGATCCTTTGGGAGGCCGGTCGGGCGATAGAGGCTCAGGGAGAGAGTTTTGTGGTTCTTCTACGCCGAGGAGCGTTCCTTTGTGGACTTTCGATTTCTAACTAGTAAGTATGGAGCCGAATCATTGCTGTTCGGTTGCCTGGGTCTCGAAACGATACAAATAAACGGTGTTTATGCCTTCATATTTATTTTGGAAAGACTTGATTAGCTGGATGCATCTCTGTTGGTTTAAGATTTAGGTGTCAGCTCTGGATGGATAGGTATATTTTCCTTATCCGCCCTATCAGAAATTGCTTTTTCTACAACATGTGATATTTCAGAGCTTCTTAACTGAAATCGTATTTCCAGAATATGAAGCATGATGCCATCAATACTTAATATTTAAAGTAGACTCTAATTAATTTTAGATCTTGATCAGTTGCTTGTTGATCTTAATGAAATATATTTTACAGAATTTAATGGGGTTCACAAAATACGGGGAAATCCGTATTTGGGGAAAAAATACTAAGGTCATTCAAAATCCTTAAGTTGTTAAATCGTAGATGGGCACTGTGGGCAAAGCAAAATAGGTGGATGTAGTAAAGTTTTTCTCTCTAATTTTTCATTGTTAAAAGTGGATTATGAAAATTATAGCTAAAAAGTATCAATTCAACAGAGGCATTTGTGTTATGAAGAATAAGATACCTTTTCCAAGACTGTGCCTACCAAGAGAGATATTTGTAATTTAATGAATGATTAAATACCTTACATTTCTGAAAAAGGATTTATAATATGCTGCTTTGCTGAATTTCTTTTCTAGAGTAAGAAACACTTTTAGGAATTGCTATTTTCTGTAGTATACATGAGATTTATCTTGAATTCAATTATGAATATTTTGAATGCAACAAATGAAGCATCTTTGTGTGCATATTAATTTGATTTAGTCTTTTAGCAACAACAATACTGTATATTATATTGGTATCACAATTCATTATCACAATAACACTGAGAAGCAATCGTTTTGCCATTTTTATCAAAATGTAAGCTCGGACATCTTTATTTGGTAACAGACAGATTTTTTTTTACTGAGGCTTTATGTCAATGCCACGTGAAATTTTATTTTATTTCTGATACTATTTTCTTGTCTATATGCCACATGCAAAATACCAGATAATTTACTACTGAATTTCTCATCCCAAGAGTATCAAATTAGAATTCTAGTTTAGTAATCCTCACTTAAGAGAAGAATTCAAAATGCTGACTAATAATGAAAATGGTTCAGATATCAATCTCTGTTCCATGACAACTCCCCCCCCCCCCCAACAAGGCTTAAACCAAATAATCAGAACAAAATGTATGTGGTCAATAATCCTTCCACTATT